ACACGGGACCACGCCAGGTGGCCATCGTCTTTGCACACTACTTTGAGCCTATATACCTTTTGTATACTGAATTTCAGATAAATGTACTGCATAGAAATGTCGGCATTTCAGATGTATCTACCTAATGTGCACTGTGACTTGACTGGATGTAAGGTGTCCATGATCGGCATGAAAAGTACGGTATGTATATACAGTATGTGCACCATATATACATACTGTATTTGCTGATTGTGCACTGCCTTTACTCAAGTTGCAGTGTATATTTTATAGGTATTCTTTCAAATTCAAACAGTTTTATGCAGTACTGATATCTGAAATTAGCTGATATCAATTACAGCTGAAAACTATTCGCTTTTCAGGACCATATATCATTGGCAACGTTTCTCAGTGTGACTCGTCAGCTTTAGAGTTGGTGGTGGTTACAGGCTTGTGTAATTTCCGTATGTATTCATCAGCAGATTTTAGTTGACAGGTTAGCCAGAGCTGGTTTACACCAGTTTGATGTAAGGAGTATTTCTTACAAGTAATTGTACTGGTATGTATCCAACAAGGTCCATTCGTTTCGCTTTTTCCAGAGGTCTGGTGAGCAAGGGTCTATCGATTTCAATACCTATTTTGTGTGGATGCACAACCTCATAAGGATTGTCGAAACCGAAAGGTCCTATTTGCCTGAATCACGGATATACCTGTCATAGATGAAGTCTTGTTTAATTTACTACTTCTTTGTGTATGAAAGACAAAAAGATTGTTACTAGCTTACCATCTACATATTTGCTTATTTTAAAGGCTTGTTCTAAACAGGAGGTCTCTGCAAACGATGGAAAAATTTTTTAACTTGTGCTTTTGCGGTCGTTGCCCATTACTCTGTTAATGATTTTCAGGTGAATGGAAAAAGCTGCCTTTGCCGTTGATGCGGATGAAGCGACCCAGCGGAAGTTCGACCAGTTCTGATACAAGCGGATCGCGGAGCCGAAGCGGTGGATTTGGCCGAACTGCTAACTCGTTTCCTTCCGTGTTCCCGGACTACGACTCGTTCCGATTTTGGAAGCGATCGATTTTGGATGCACTGCAGGTGGCGTTCAATCACCGTCACGCAAATATTTTCCTCCACCCTGTTACCGATCATATCGCACCAGGATACAGTGAAGTGGTCCTTAAGTATGCGATATTTTATATTTGAACTTTTTAATTGACAGGATCGTAGGTGTGCGCGAAAGAGGCTAATGTTCTCTTCGCAGACTTTGAAATGCCTTAGCACACCATAGCCTGATCGAATGTATCTAGAAGCTGCCATGAGATGTGGTGAAGGAGGTTGAATGGCCAATTTTTCCTTGAGTTATCAGTCGTTATCCGATTGTTTAGATGTCAGCATTCGAATTAATGACGGCAAGACGATTCCGTTTGAGGTGCGTGTTGGTCTCTCTTCTCCAGAGTGTGTGCTTTCTCTATTTCAGTTCTTAATTTTGCAAATTTGACTTGTAAACATGATCTGTGCGCTGAGAACGTCGCAGTTGACGAAATCTGATTGTTTCGTCACTGTTAGTTTGTTCGTTTTCGATCGTTGTTGATATCCATCCATATTCTTCGTTTGCTGTTGCGTTCACAAGGGCAGGGATGAAGATCATCTTGATCGAAACAGGTTTTTGTGCTTTTGAGACTGACTCATCACCGTGATGTGCAGGTCAGTAGTGGAGTACAGCTGGAATACTTAGAGCTCAAGAATTTCAGTGTTCAGTGTAATATCAAGAGTGTTCATGGGCAGGAGGCATAGATAAGCTAGGTGAACTCTTTAATGCTTCAGCTAAATGAGTCTACGGTTGTTAAGGGCTAGTTTAGCTGTAATGCGAAGTTGTCTGTTTGCTTTTGCAGACCCATTTCACCTTACCATTGGTCATGAATGCTGG